TCGGAGAAAGATGATCGTATCTCTCTAAGCGCCGTATCATTTTTTAGATACGAAAAAGAGTGCATCTACTTAATACTGTGTGAGAACTAAATTTACTGAATTCAGCATCCTGACAAAGAAAAGTTTTTCATTATTAGTTAGCTGCTTTACTACCGCAGGTGGAAATAATTATTACGACAGCGTCAGTGTATTGAATTCTAATCTTGTAGCGATTTTCTTACCAAAATGAGTTGGGCTTATGCCCAAACATAAATTCTGTATTCCACTCAAAAAGCACCCGTTATCGTTATAGTTACGGTTAAAGTTAGGTGGTGCAACTCAGCCTTAAAGTCATACAACCAATTTATTTTCCGTAAAAGCACTTCTAAGCGTCACAGATCCAATACTTCTAAAATAAAAATTATTTTAAGTCTAGCACAGATAAATAAAATTATCATAATTAAAATCGTCATAATTTTATATGAAACTTCTTAAATACCTACTTGTAATAATATTTTACAGATAGCCATGATAAGATAATTATATGTATATGAAAAAAAAAATCTAAACACGTGAGAAGAAATGAAACTGTGTGAACTACAGAACAGAACACCAAATCTAATGATTGTATATCTCGCTAAGCGCCGAGTAATTTCGGTAGAGCGCACGCGCAGGTGAGTTTGGGAGCGCACTTTTACTTGCCACATTGTTGTCTGATAATCACTTTAATGACCTTAGTTCATTCATCTAACCAAACATTCGTCAGTTAGCCGAAATAATAACTCGTCAGTTAGACGCAGTAGGTGAAATGGATATTTGGTAAATTAATGGGAATGAAAAGAAAAACGGGAGTATTCCCACCACTGCAACTCCTGTGTAGTCAGGATGTAGATCCTTGAGTCAGGCTGTAGAGCTTGACCGCCATAAAAACCCAACCAATGAAGGTCAAGTTTGTCCCCGCGGAAAAGTTAAACTTTGACTGGACCCGCAACGAAAAATCACAAGAACATAGGAGTTCGAAATTAAGGTTCGACTTCTCTCTTTTGCAAAGCGGATAACAGGTGAATGGAAAGAAAGATAATCTACGCTAATGTAAAGTGTGCCCCATTTTAATAGAGAATACATACTCAAGGACAGACCCGGCAGAGTGGTGCGAAGCATTTCCTTCGCATAAAAAAAAACACGTGGTATACAAATCTTTTTAAATCATACTGTTATGTATCAATTCTCAAATTAGGTACCTAAAATTTAAAATTGTGGGAATAGAACTAAAGAATCAGATAGTGTACCTACCGTGTAGATATCATAATATAATTGGATTAAATTTTGTAGGTTACTTTTATTACAGGTGTATAAAGTAAGCCCCTTACAACCAAAATAAGTCCACAGATAGTAAAAGTATTTTTACAACGGCTAAAGCTTTTCGTAGCCTTCATCAGGTCGTCGAACCGCGTGGTAATACTAATCATTTTAGTTTGGGTTTAGACTGCTTTTTAGATTTTTGTAGAGATAATTCTAAGTTCGCCTGGCAAGTTACTATTGTTTTTCCTACGTCGATTTAGACTCTTCCATCTTTTCTAATCATCTCTTTACATCCGATGATATGTAAGCCATGAGCTTCCCCGTTGTAATATACAAACTCAAAGGTCTCTGACTGACATAGTAATTTATCTACGCACAGCCCAAACCACTGGATGGATCGGGCTGAAATTTGGCATGCAGGTAGATTATGTTATGACGTAGGCATCAGCTAAGAAAGGATTTTACGAAACTTCACCCCTAAGGGGTTAAACGGGACCCACGCATACGAAGTCGCGGGCGGCCGCTAGTATGTTCATAAGTTTATAATCTTACCAAGTAAATACTCTATCAAGATTTCTAGTCAGTAACATCAGCCAGTTTGCTCTCAATATAGAGTCATTACTTAGTTTTGTTTCATTTCTGTCACCTCGTGACTTCGTTTTGGTTTTTTGTCCGCAAGAATCCGCGGTAGAGTGACATAATAGTTTTATAATAGTTCTTTTTGTTGTGGCCGACATTACAGAATGTTCTAGATATACTTTTGTTGTGATCAACATTCGTCAGTAGTTTGGAAAGCAGTACCGTGCGAATAGTTAGTTTAGTGTACCTTTTTACGTTAGCCGTGTTAGTTTACTTTGCAAAAGTGCTAAAAGTGATACCTACTTGGTTAGTCAAAACATTTAAAATTTGTGTGACTTGAGGTTTGAAAAGTAAAGTTGTATCAATAATTATATTATATACCAACTGACATCTGCTAAAATGGATAAAAATACTTTCATCCACTTAGCACGCACATTTTAATGTGTTAATGACATTAAAATGTGCGTGCTAAGTGTAAATAAGTGCTTTTATTTGTCAAATCTTGAAGTTTAAAATCTACAGATTCAATAGAATCGATGCGTTACTTACGTAAAAGTGCTTTTTAAAAGCCTATTTGCAAAAATAAATGAGTTTTATGAGTTTTTTATGCGGTTTACTGCTAACGTTTTGCATAGTATATGTGATATTGTATTTTTAGTCATGTGAATATGTTTTTGACATAACTAGATACAGTTTCTCAATTTGCATAGACTTTTGTGATTCAAGCTTTTATTTTTTAACTATGTTTGTAAGGAGTTCATTAATTCAATTCTATTCAAACGTTTCAAACTTCAGGCTGAGTTGCACCACCTTATTTTAACCATAATAATAACCGGTGCTTTTTGTATGGAATTTGGCAGATTTTTGACGTTTATCAAAGTTGTAAGACGGTGCAACTCAGCCTAACGCCCGTATTCACAAACGATGCTTGCTTATGTGAAGCAGCAAATCGAACGCATAGCGTGGAATAATGCTGTGTAATTGGTTTGTTTGTCACCCACGCGCACTATGAGACCTCATAGTAATGTTTGCGAATACGGGCGTAAGTCTTACTTGCGATTATAATAATCATACCTTTAGGTAGTTAAATATTATAATAAATTATAAGGTACAGCTGATCAATCGGCCGAAGGTCAGCGCGTCCCTGAATTTATAACCACTATAGGACTTTAATAGAACTTTCTAACTTTCAAAGTCATCAGACGGGTTCCATGTTGTTTTCTATAACAATTCAGATGATTACTAGCGAGGAGGTTACGGTTAAATCGTTAACTGACCGTCTAACACGTACGGGAAAGAACTTGCTTGCGTAAGTATAAATGAGTTATAATTGTTCTGTAGATTGCCTTTCTTTAGACGTTTGGTGCTATAAGAATTCTAATGCCCATTTTCACCATCAATCCCTAATTTTAAATCAATCCCATAGAATCTTGTTTTCACAGGGATCACTTAAAAATTAGGGATTGATGGTGAAGACGGACATAAGAAACTTATGGAAGTGTTTGCAAATGAAATAAGTAAAGTGAGGTGTTCTTACGCCCGTATTTACAAACATTATTATGAGGTCTCACAGTGCACGTGGACGCACAGGGTAACACACGAACCAATCACTGAGCTCTATTCGCTGTGCGTTCGATTTGCTGCTTCACTTAAGCAAGCATCGTTTGTGAATACTGGCGTTAATCTCTACTCTACACTCTCAGGAACTCAATCCAGAGTTCCTGAGTTCGAAATCCAGATGGGACACAAATTAAAAGAAACTTGAATTGATTTAAAAGAACTAAGAGCATGACTCTTTTGCTCGTTTTCACCCAATACCTAATTTTTAAGTGACCCAAAAACAAAATTCCAGTTATATGTTACCATAGGGGTCACTTAGAAATTAGGGATTGATAGTGAAAACGGGCATTAATGTCTTATTCCGAAAACTAAAAACTTTTAATCTCTTTGCCAAACCTTCCAGTTTGAATGGAATAGAATCCATTGAGGCAAAAATTAATATCAATCTCAATAATGTAATTTATTCTGCTTGGTTAATATTTATCTGGCTCAGAATGCCCAATGGCAATAAGTTAGCATTATGCCGATTTATGTCGAAATCAATAAACAAATAACTAATTCGTTGTTTCAGTTTATGCTGTTATTAACAAGTTATTTAACCCAAAAAGTTTTACAGTTACGCCAAATTGAGTAATCAGAATTGCAATGATGCAAGGGTGGTTGACCCTTGGAACCGGTTCACATTCCATTGACATGTATCGGCAAGTTCATTCATACTTAATTACTCGCAAACAGATCAATTTAACTCCTTAAAAAAGCTTTTTAAACGAGTAGAGGTCTTCTTGCGCCTTTATTAAATAATGACTAAACGAAAAAAAATATATAACTAAATATTAGAGTACGTTTTGTTATTAGAAAATGCACGTTGACAATAAGTTAGAATTAATTAAATTTCCTTTTTTTAATTTAGGCTTGAAATGTATCAATCAAGATTATATGAAAAAAAAAATTCACATCGAATTGCACATATTGCACAAGAATAAGGAATCGATTTATGACAGGTATTGATTTATAGATTGAAGTTTACTTACGTACGAGTTAATATAGAGCGAATACATTTGCACTTAACCTAATAAAAACAAATCAAATGCATTTATAATCAGTCTGATATAAATTAACAAAAGTGGCGGCATTTCAGTTATATTAATACCAACAGCAACACCAATTAAATATTAATTTTTTGTTGTACCAGTAATTCATTGTCAATTAAATTGTTTAAAATACACACATCCGCACTGTCCGTTTCCTAAAGTTGTCGTCTATAAATTGTCGGCAAATATTAAATTAAATTAAGTATTAATAAACAACTTGAAAAAAAAAACACGAACTGCCTAAGACGGGAAAATTAAGAGCCACAAACCGAGCAGCGGTCGTGACACTGAAAACCACAATACATCACAAACGTAATGTTACCTTACAGTCATGACCTTTGCGATGACCGCACAGAGGCTTTCACGAATGCAACGTTACGAAACCTGGACTTTACTTTTACTCCCTGAGAAAGCCTTCTGAGTTTTCGGTACGTTTTTTCAACGGACAACTCGCGAGGGGTGCGGAGAGGTATATAAAGTTACGCGACCGACGCCGGCGCACAGTGTGAGACCCGGATTTGAAAGATGTGGAGGACCGTAGCTTTCGTCGCGCTCGCGGCCACCTGCCTCGCTCTGCCCGCCCAAGAGGCAGGCCACTCGGATAACGACATCGAGGGAATCGGAGACTGCCTCAGAAAGGATTCCACAACATGCCTCAAGTACAAATTCTTCTCGTTCGTGGACAAGATGATCGGACAAAAGGAAACCTTCGCGTTGACCGATGGCGTCACAGTGGTCAGAGCGTCAGATGTTCCTGCTGAAACTGGTGCACCCAGATCCATGGATCCGATTACCAGGTTGAAGAATTACTTCGAGACGCATTCTCTGCGGGTCGAGGTCAAAGGTGCGGATGTAATCGATGCGGTGTCAAGTGCAGGTCGCGCGTTAGAAGATACAGTGTCGAATTTCGTCGAAGATGACACCGAGGAAGGCAGAGGGAAGAAAAAGAAAGCGGCGAAGCTACTAGGACCTCTAATGGCGGCTTTGGCTATGAAGCTGATGGCTTTGACGCCTCTCGCGATTGGAGCGATCGCGCTCATAGCTGGCAAGGCGTTGTTGATCGGGAAATTGGCTCTGGTGCTGTCAGCGATAATTGGTTTGAAGAAGCTTCTGTCTCAGCAAAAGCATGTGACCTACGAAGTGGTGGCCCACCCTCACCACACTTCGAGTCATACTTCAAGCCATGACTACGGCGGTACCAGTGGCTATGGTGGGGACTCCGGTGGCTACAGCAGCGGCGGTGGCGGTGGCGGCCACGGTGGCGGCTGGGGCAGATCTATGGACGCTCAAGCTTTAGCGTACTCAGCTCAGAAGCCTCAATAACTGCGTCCTACATTTACGTCCCCCTTTAAGCGATTTCACTTGATTGTTTACAACTTTATCCGTGTGAAAGAGTGATGTACGACTGTATTTATTATGACTGTGTTTAGTTAAGTCCTTTTTCTTTTGCCATTCCACTCGATATCATAGTCATTATTTATTTTCTTCGACCTTATAGGTCGCTCGTGTAGCTATTTTCATAGTGTATTTATCTAAGACTTATGTATATACGACTTTTTTCGACTGTATTAGTATTATCTAGATATAGCAATCTATATATTGGTTATCAAAACCAGTACCTGGCTTTAATATTGTAAGTGTTATGTAAGATATATTGAACTGTTTTTGTATATATTATGAGTATTTTATAATCATGTCATCCTAAGGGGTCATGAATATTTATATAATTCATTCATTATTGAAATATACGAATCATTATTTATCTCATTAATAATAATGTGAACACAAAGATTTATTTAATGTTATTACAAAATAAAATCTTGTCGAGTGTTTAATTTTAACAAGCAACGAATCTCATAATCCTAAAGACCATTCATTCAATCTTTCTTTCTCTGCACAAAAAACGGAGTAACGAGTTCCCACAGTGTACTCGTAATTATGCGCGATCAATCATCAACTCATGAGCCATCTTCTTTTTGTCATATACATCTGACGTATTAAAATATTCCCCGTGTCATCTACGTTGGTTTAAATGAGAAGTGAAAAGCGGATCTTGAAGTAGGTCACTGTCATCAAGGGAATATGCGAATGAGTGGAAAAATAGAGACTCGGACGTGTTCTATATTCGAAATGGAAAAACAAATGACATCCTATACGTTCTGAAGTATGACATTGAGTTTCAAATATTCCATATTTAAAATGACAATCTAATGAAAACAAATGACGATCTTATAGGTGTAAAACTTAAGTGTTCTATGTTTGAAATAGAAAACAAAATAGCAGATTTTTTATGAAGAATTTAAAGTCCCATTATGACGTGCCAGTATCTTTAACTAGTAATATTAATAGGATAGAAAGAAGGATGTGTGGTCAAATGGATACGTCGATTTTTCTCAAAGCAGACGAGTGTCTAGTGTATTTTTCTATAAGAATTTCTAGTGAACTGTGAAAGGCGATCAAGTTTTCCATTCAAGACTAGCCTAGACTTTCAATGACATATTTCTAGATCTAGTTTTAAGTAAGTTGTGTGTATGGTCTAAAGTTATTCTGTGATAGTTTTTCTTTTAAGTTTTATTGGGTTTAATAAATCTTTGCTTACTAATTACTAAGTTTTGGTTAATATTTGTAATACGTTTACAGAGCATACTATATGGAAAGTTATGAAATTAATTTTGTTACTACTTACACATAATAATAGAAAATTACTTGAGAACTATTTAAACTTATGTCGTATTCGTTAAACTTTTCTTTTCCATGGTATTATCTAATAGTCGTTTTTTTTGCTGATGATCACTTACAAAATGCCCAAAGATACTATTGTTGAAAGTAAAATTTGTGTAAATAACCGATTTCATAGTCTTACTCTACTGAAAAGGTACAATAACCTTCGCTTTATTATGTCGTTGCGAAGTTTTAATATTATTTTTTCATAGGTCTCCTACCATAAGATGTATTAATTTTATTTTGTTGATAAACTTTTTGAAACATTTCAAGCATCAGTACCTATACTCGTAATAATAAGGTAAATATTGACTAGAGCATTTCTATGTAATGTAAACGTTCTTACGAAGGGTACAATACGAGGGCTGCACTAAAAGTATCGGGAATGGAATATTTCCACTGTTCCAGTCATATTAAAATCTATTTAATTGCAAACTCCAGGGTTTTAAAAATCGTATACCATTTATTTATTTAAAAAAAGATTCTCGGTCGTATCACAAGGTCTAGTCAAACTTGTTTAGTCGTTGAGAAAATGGAATTGACTCGAGAAAATTCAAGAGCGATGATTTATTATGACTTTCGGAGTGGTTTAACACAAAAACAGTGTGTTGACCGGATGATTTCTGCATTTGGTAATGAAGCCCCATCCAAAACCACAATTTATCGCTGGTTTCCTGAATTTCAACGTGGACGTGTCAAGCTCAGTGATGATCCCCGTCAAGGTCGTCCAAAAACTGCAGTCACCTAAGAAAACGTTGATGCTGTGCGTAAGCTGATTGAAGAAGATCGACATGTGATATACCGCGAAATTCAGGCAACTTTAGACATTGGCATGAGCCAAATACAAATAATCTTGCATGAACAACTAGGTGTAAAAAAGTTGTTTTCCCGATGGATACCGCATTCGCTCTGTGAAGAGCAAAAAGCGGCTCGCGTTACTTGGTGCGTCAGAACTCTCGGGAGATTACATGCAGGATCCTCAAATGCTGTATACAACATCGTATCAGGTGACGAATCATGGATATACGCGTACGAACCCGAAACAAAAAACCAGTCACGAGTTTGGGTGTTCGAAAATGAATTAAAGCCAACAAAAATTGTTCGTTCACGGAGTGTTGCAAAAAAAATGGTGGCCACGTTTGTCTCCAAAACCGGCCATGTTGCGACTATTCCTCTTGGGGGACAAAGAACGGTTAATGCAGATTAGTATGCTAGCATTTGTTTGCCACAGGTCGTTTCTGAACTCCGTAAAGAGAACTGCAACCGCCGCATCATCCTCCATCACGACAATGCGAGTTCTCACACCGCGCACTGAACAAAAGAGTTTTTAGAGCAAGAAAACATAGAATTATTAGTCCATCCGCCGTACAGCCCTGACCTAAGCCCTAATGATTTCTATACTTTCCCTAAAATAAAGAATAAATTGCGTGGTCAGAGATTTTCATCACCTGAAGAAGCTGTGGAAGCCTACAAAACGGCCATTTTGGAGACCCAAACTTCCGAATGCAATGGTTGCTTCAATGATTGGTTTCGTGTATGGAAAAATGTGTCAAATTTCGCGGAGAATACTTTAAAAAGCAATAAATACATTTTTAAATAGTAATGTTGTTTCACTTCCTTGATTCCCGAAATTTTCAGTGCCGCCCTCGTACAGGTATAGTCCAACGATTTTGAAAAGTCAACTGGCAAAAATCAAAAACTCACAACTTTTTTTTTATCGACAACGAGGAAGCTCTTGGCCTGTATCTCACCTGATGGTAAGTGATGATCAGGCCGAAGGTGGAAGCGAGCTTCACCCGGAATCCTCAACCACGGAGGAACTGGCTATCTTACCTCTAACTGACGGAACACAACAATGCTGTTAACATTGTTGTTATGGCGACAGACTTAGGTAAGATGGTGGTAGCTAGCCAGGCGGACTTAGAACAAGCCCTACCATCAACCAAACCGAACAGAAAAATCTGTCCCCACTGGCAATAGAACCCGGGACGCAGAGGGCGTCTGAAGCAGGTGGTCTAGGTCTACCACTAGACCACAGAGGCGGTTAAAACCAAAAATTCAGTATTGATAGCAGTACTTTCCTGTAAATGTCATAAATATATTAAGGTTGTCCAACGAGGCAATAATCGGAACTGACAATCCAGTTTTGATAGTAGCGCCCTCCTAACAATGTCATAGGTAACTGGGACGGTTCGGTGTAGGACATGTCTAAAATGTATGAAGTTTGGTTCGTGACAAATGATACACTGTAACTGTCTACTCACGCATTGCATCGGCGAACGAACGAGCAATGTTTGGTTCGTGAGCGAACATTCACGAAGACGTACAATCCTGACGCACTCTCTTCAACGACTTTGCACAAAACGGTCTCGATAACATTGTAAATGTATATCGAATAGATCAATAATTTCATACAGCCCACTGCTTTCATTTATAAGCTTCCACTACACACACTATCGGAGTAACATATTGATCCGGCTCGAAGGACCAGGATTGTCTTAGTGGATGTTCACTCGAATGTTCGATTGCTCGGTCGTTCGCCGAACGCTCGCCGCTCCCTCCGGTCACGCCGCCCGCGGGCAATGTCCGTGAGTAGACAATAACATTTCATAGAGCGGCTCGTTGTTCTGTTACAAGTAATGCTCAAGTCCAGTCTAGGTACACTCACCTTACGGAAATCAGCTTCCGTCATAAGTTAACACAATATTAAACTTATTTTCACTTTTCAATTAATTATTGAATAGTCAACACGATCCTTATTAGTGATACGGACTTCCCACGTCAATAATAAATATGAAGTTGATATTATCAAAGCATTCCGCGTTAAATACTAAAGTCATCAGGAAGGTGGAATTAACGTCCTAAAGTCGCTGACATAGCTAACGGATTAGCAAGCTGAAGTGGCAATGAGCGGGCACATAGTACGCAGAACTGACGGCCGATGGGGCAGCAAGGTTCTGGAGTGGAAACCACGTACTGGAAAGCGCAGCGTATGACGTCCACCCTTGTGGTGGACCGGTGATCTCATAAAGGTAGCAGAAGGCGCTGGATGCAGACCGCTACCAACCGGCCATTGTGAAAATCATTGGGGGAAGCCCATGTTCAGCAGTGGACGTCCTATAGCAGAAACAATGATGATGATGATGATGATGATGATGAAAGGTCAATCAAAAGGAGAAGGTTTAACAGATCTATTCCCACCTTTCTTTCCCACCACTGCAACTCCTGTGTAACCAGAATCTAGAGTTTGAGGAAGTTTCTATGTGGACCAATATCTGTATTCTAATCATAAGCAAAAGAAGAAGGCATCAGGCAATCGGAGTCCACTGCTGAGCTACTCTTCCCAAGGAATACCTAAGATCACAATCTCCCACTTTTTTGTCCAAATGTAGCTTTTTGGAGGTCGTCGGTCCATCAAGCTGAAGAGGTCTTTCACAAGGTTCATGACTCCTCTGTCAATAAATATACAATGAAGGCCCTATTCCTTCATTTTCGATCGGACATCCAAAAGTTCACTAGGAAAATACCAAAACATGCCAATAGACAATTTACAAAAAATATCTCTCAACTCCACCTGCCCTGGAAGAAACTGTCAAAATACACGCAACATATGCCTCTGGCGAATAAAAAACAAACTCAAACCAAGCCTAGGCGCAGACCACCGATTTTTAGTTGACTGATAGTTGGGCTGGATTCTAATTTGTATGAAAAATCGGTCGATACCAAATCGGTGTAATGTGCGCACATTCATACATCTCCATACTGATTAACAGCCCGATACAACTATCGGCCAACTAAAAGTCGGTGGTCTGCGCCTAGGCTAACTGTAAACAGGAAAAATATTATTAAGTATAACAAAAACTAAATCGATACCTACTTCTGCTCTTTCCTATCTAGGCTACTTATGCTGATCTAAAACCAATTTTGTGCTTGAATAACTTATTTTCCATTTAAACTGGGTTAAATCTAATTTATTCAGTTTATTTATATTCATTAATATTAACTTCTTACATCGCTTTTTCACCTGTAATTGGATGAAAAAACATCATGTTTCT